ATATAGCAAAATACAGAAATTTTAACACACCTTTGCCTTTCTGCTTGTAGTTATTTTGCGTTGAACAATGTAATTACAATTATGTAAGAAAATCAAACTAATTGAATTTTTTTCTAATAAAAATCGCATTGAAATCAATGTACATAAAAAGATTTGGAATATTTGAAATGAATTTGAACAGAACTTCATCAAACCAGTATAAGCGACGAATATTGTTCCAAAATGAATAAATAATTCGCCATTATTATTTTTACTATCAAATTAGATTATGCTTCATAAACCCGTTCAAAATACGCTTATTATAAATTACTGTTGATGGCTAATTTTTATTTGAATTATTGCTTAATTATGTTATTCTTTACATGTAATTATATATAACTCATATTAAATGCAGTAATTAAATGCGCTATTCGTTCGCTCGAATAATTAAAACTTATAACTTGTCGGTTTTAATTATGTATCTATATATCCATAAGTAAATTTGTTTAAATATTTCCTAATGCTATTTTTTAATTGAATTCACGAGCATTTCGCATATTTCTGAACAATCAATTTAAAAACTAAAGGATATTTTATGAAAATGTTATCTGTTTAAAGAGACTATTGAAAAAACATGCTTACATGCTACTTTTTCATTTCGCGAAGAATGTCCACGTTTGTTTGTTGTTTATAAACCATTACATGTTCAAGCGTTTTCTTGGCGATTAAACATAGCGGTCTAAAACGAAAAAGAGCAACCCTCTTTGCCTCCTACTGAGAACTGTCATTTAGAGATCTCCAGGGTTCCAGAAATAAGGGGGGCAGGAGACATCTGCACGGCCGCTTTAAGGCGGTCATAACGCTTTCGAGGTCTTCACCACTGACCGCCTAGAACCATCAGTAACGCTTTCGAACACTTTTCCAGTGACCGCCTAGAAGCGTCCGTAACGCTTTCAAGGTAGGCCGTCTTGACCGCCTAAACCCGGTCATAACGCTCAGAGGGTTAATGATTGAAAGCATGCCCATAAATACTTACAGTTACAGGAAAATTTAGTACATTACATGAAATACAAATGGTCTGAAACTTTGATTACAGACTAATAAAATTACTGATAAGGTGCTTCAGACACAAGGGGGAAAGAATGAGTGCATAGGTGTAAAGTTTTAGAATGTTTATTGAGTATCACTCAGTAAAAAAATTTGGCTTTCAGAACTTCAAATGCAATATTCTGCAATGTGAATATTTTAGGTATTGTTAAACTACTCGGAAAATCTGATTTAACAATGAGTGAACATTTATGTCAGGTTCTGTCTAAAGAAACTTATAATCACTTTTCAGTTTGCTGTGAAATTCTGTTCAGGAAAATATATTTAACTGAGCTAGATAAGTAAAATATTTGAGTCTTATTTTAGACTGTATGCCAGATACAAGTCATGTGGAGCAGATTTTGTTACAGTGTTATTTTTAGATGTAAAAAGGTATTGTAATAAAGGAACATTTTATTAACTATTGAACTGTTAAAAAAACTGCAGATCAAGGATATTGAATAAAGAAAAAGGTATTGCAATAAAGGAACATTTTATTAACTATTGAACTGTTAAAAAAACTGTAGATCAAGGATTATATGAAAGTATACTTGATTTTCTAAGAGAGCAACCTAAACTACAGAACTGCAGAGTCCAGGGCTATGGTAATATTAAAATAAAAAGAGGAAAAATAAAGGTGTTAAGGCATGGATCATGGAAGAAAATCTATCAGTGTTTTATATGCTATTTGGATGTCATAGCCTAAACTTAGTGGTCCACTTCTTTTTTTGGTACTGTACAGATGGGAGTGAATAACAAAATGAGTCAAAACCATTAAAAATTAAATCCTGGGAATTTAAGAAGCTGTTTATGAACTTCCAGAAATGTCTGTGTCTGATCTTGTAGTGCGACTAAACTAGAGACTGTTTTTATACAAATAGAAGATAAGTTTCCTAGTGATGATAAATGTTTGGTATGATGTTTTAGGCAGGGTAAATGTCTGAGAACACTTCTGTGGAATTATCACCTGCAGTTTCACTAATGAATGGTGTCGCTGATTATCTTGGGAATGGATATAAAAAGGCACTAGAGTCAGAAAAAGCATAACCTGCAGTATTAGATGTAGAGCCCATTTTTAGAAATTAAAGAATAAATAAAAAAAAAAAAAAAAAAAAAAAACAAAAAAAAAAAAAAAAAAAAAAAAAAAAAAAAAAAAAAAAAAAAAAAAAAAAAGAGGCTATTTGAATATGAGTGCAGCGGCCAGATTCCAAGTGTAGATGCAGAAAAAAAGTCACTTGTTCAATGTAATTGTGGATCCAGTTATTAATTCTTTATATGAGATATTTGAATAATTATAAAGTTTAAATAGCACATGAAATTTTTAAATGATTTTAAAGATCTACCAGATAAAAATAAACTCAAAGTAGCATATCAAAGTCTGGAGAGTTGGTTAAGGTACCAAGAAACTACAGGTCTTGATACCTTAACTAACTGTTCCTTAATTATTTAGTTCAGTCAAGAGATCAGATCCATTAATTAGCCAACATTAATAGATCTGATCCTTTGACTGAACTAAATACATCCAAAGAATTATTTTTTGAAGAAGTAAAGCTTCTAATAGAAGCCGCTAGGTTCATAAACACTAATAAGTTACAAGATGTCATACCAAATCTGCGAGTTGCATTAAGAATAATGTTTACAACACATTTTACTGTGGTGACTGGTGAGAGCAATTTTTGTGAACTAAAGCTTTTAAAAACATAGTCATGCTTGTCTCAAGACAGATTGAATTATTTGGCAATTTTGTCTCCAGAAAATATTGTAAAGAAAATAAATGTAGAAAGTACCATGAAAAGATTTGCTAATCTAAAGGCTGTACAAAAGTGTTTTCAGTAGGCTAAATTTTCATACTTTATAAATACTGCCGGAGAAAAACAGTATTATTCATTGTATGATAAAACACAACCAAAATAATAAATTCATTTCTCTATATTTTTTCCATATAAAAATTTTTCATAGTTACATTTAATAAGGGTGCCAAAGTTCAACTTGCCTTGGGCACCAGCAACTATAAGGACAACTGTGCATGCAATAACACATGTTTGTACTATTACATATGGATTTACAAACTTTATATATTAACCATCATTTTGCTAAACAGTATCTATTGGCTATAAAAATGTAAATATCAATAATACAAATTACTTTTTCATGAAATTTTTTGTTTCTTATAAAAATGCTTCATTTTCTTATCATTTATGAACAGAATAATATCTCTGAGCCACTACAGCCAAAAATAATTTTTCAAAAATTCCCAAAGTCATCAGTGAGTTTGCAGTTGTGAAAGTGCAGATAATCAGAAAGTGCTATTTCTATATTTGATTAAATATATGTATATATTTGGATATATAAAATCCTCTACTTTTACTGTAATTTTTTCTTATTTCTTCCTGTTGTACATTATGCATGATATTTGATCAACCAGAAAGTTCTGTGGTATTTTGATGATAAATACAAATGAAGTAATATAATGAATACATAAGAATCACTTTGTTTTATGATATTTGCTGTCTGCCCAGAAGCTGGAAAATTCCTTTTAATAAAAAAGTCATTAGGTTTATTTGTAAAGAATTTATCAAGATGCTGTTTGACAGTCTCCGAAAAAACAAAGTTCAGATGATTGTGAGAATTTTTGAAGTGGCCTGAAGAGATGAAAATCCGAGGGTGGCCGCAATTAATGAATATGTGTAGGGGGTAATGTCAAACATCCCTGCTGCATTCAGCATTCAGCAAAATGTAGGGTACAGCATTGTCATGATGGAAGACAATACCTTGAAGATTGGTCAATTCTTGCCATTTCACTTTGATTTCTGCTTACTATTTGGGAACAATGTTTTTTCTGATTGTATTGTCCGATTTAGTGGCAACAATATGTGATACGCAATTTTTTTGTAGTCTCACCATACACGAAGCACTACTTTTTTGAGATACAGTTCCCATCTTGTTGTTACTAAAAGATGTTCTTTTACCTTACCCTACGATCTTTTTCTTATAACATTGTATAGTGTCCACTTGTCATCTCCAGTCATGAGCCATTAAAAAATGGAGCTTTATATATATTTTTTGCAAATGATTGCATGTCAAAACCTGAGCAAGCATTTATTTAAACCTTATTGGCATGATCAATATAATTAGAAGAAAACACACTTCGATTTGAAAAACCAGAGAACTTTTCCCAGATGATCCAATGGTATACTTTTACTTGTTTTTGCATTTAGAATTTCATTTTGTAAGTATGGATTTACTGCATTTTAAATTCTATTAATACTACTTTATATGAGTTTTAGATATCAAGATATGAACATTTGGTTTATATGAAAATACCGAGTGTGTTTACTCATTTTCAGAAGATTTGCTGCATTATAATATCATTAGATGCATTATAATAAGTTTTAAATTTTGGTGACAGCGATAAGAAGCATGCTTTGTGCTTCACGTGTCTGCTGATAAATATGGCAACCCTAAAGAGAAATCTTTGTAGAAGCGCAGGTGGAGAATAGAGATCCTCTGTTGAGGGATGGAATGCATATCAAGTCCTATAATAAAAGATTAAATTTTGTTGTGTATAATGTCTGATTAAACTTTGATTATGCAGTGAGAATATTTAATGTGATATGGACAACTAGAATCGCATAGAGATCCACTACAATTTCTACATAAACATTTCTGTTTTTTTTTTTTTTTTTTTTTTTTTTCCCCCCAAGATTCTCTATCTATATATTATTTTCCACATTTAAAATTCTAAAATATTCCAGTTACTTGAGCTTTCCAGTTAGCTGAATGCTGGATAATTGAACTTTTTCTGAAGTACCAAATTAAGGTTGTGTTATGATGGTTATATCTCTTTTTATTTTTTGCTCTCTATATATTTTGTGAACTATGTAAATGCTTTATTTTGATACAGAAGACAAATTTCATTATGTTTATGTTTTCAGTTTTTCAGACTGGAATGGTGGGCTATCCTGAGTCTTTAACAGATCCGTCCTATCATGCTCAGATATTGGTTTTAACTTACCCTTTGATTGGTAATTATGGCATTACAGCTGAAGAAGTAGATGAGTATGGCATACAGAAAAGGTTTGAATCTGATCGTGTGTGGGCTGCCGGTTTGGTGGTCGGTGAATTAAGTGAAAGGTATAGTCACTGGAGTGCTTCAGAATCTTTAAATGATTGGCTGGAGAGAAATGGTGTACCAGGGATCCAAGGTGAATTATAAATAATTTTTTATATATTTATAATTTCATAATTTAATTTTTAAGGTTTAAATTTTTAATTAGTAATTAAAGGTGATTCATTCTTTTGTTTATTCACAAGTCATACAAATCAAACCCATACTTTTTTAGTGATCTAATGCATTGATCACTTATAAAATTAACCAGTTTTAAATAAAAACTAAATTCTAGAATACTATCCAAATTTGGCATCAAAATTAAAACAAACTTCTATTGATTTTAACCTATAATACTCAAATTTTAGACAAATATTTCAAAATAGCTTTTATTCACTGTTATTTTAAGAGATGTAAAATTAGGTGTGCTTTTTCTTTTATCAGTCCAATCACTAAGTGATGCAAATATTTATTTTATTGGCATTTTTATTAAAAAAAAACTATAAAAACTATGCAATGTAATTTTTTGTATCTTCCATGGTCCTTATATTTAGAAAAAAATTGATATTCATTATAAAATGTAAAAAAAGAAAATCTGAAATTTTTCAGACTTTAAATTATGTCCAAAGGGGCATTTTTTAACATTTTGTGTGTTACATTTATTTATTAAATATCACGTTCTTCGCACTTAAACCATAAAATTCAGTTCAACAACAATAGATTCTAAGCTGTGACTCCAAGTGTGTTGGACACACTTTGGTTAAGCTTTATTTTTCGAAGAACTGACCCAGTCCTGTAAGGCGGTTAGTTAGTTCACTGTTATTCTGCTGAGTACCTTCTAGACTACGTGTGTGATTCCCTCGGCTTTCACGATTAAGCATGTCCTTTTTTAAGACAGTTAATACTGATGACGATGTTAGCGACTATACGGACTCTGAACAATCAATGTTTTTTCTACCTTCCACTTCAAGACATGAAGAATTTCTGAAGGATCCAAGATTACGGAAGAAAAGCAAAAATAAGAAAGAAGAAGAAAAGTCAGAAAAAATGGAGATAAATGCAGAAAAGACTCAGGAAAAGGACCCTAAAAAAATACGAGAGAAGGAGCTTCAGGAGCTAGTACATGGAATAGAATATGTTATGAAACATCCTGAATTCGAAGCAAGATTGAATGCAGCTAAAACACTGGAAGAAAAATCCAGAATCTTCTCTGCACATGTCAAGGAAACAGCGCAGTTGCTTGGTAAGGACAACGCACCAAAATAACCACCGATAATGTTGCTGCTGATGATGAATGAACCACACCAAAGAAAATCGCAAAAATCAAGGAAAAACCAGAACCAATGGAAATTCCCCCAGAGAACAAATTCCAACTGCTGAGGAAAATTGCAGAAGAAAATCTAGAAGGCGGAGCCAGTGCAGAAGTCCCTTCCCCTCCTATTGTATTCTCACAGGAAGCGAACGACTGGATTACATTAGACCAGAGGTCGGCAACCTTTTGAGTCGGAAGAGTCAAAAATTACAATTTACAAAATTTCAGAATCAGTGCCTAATCCTCGTTAATCGATTCAGAACAATTTTTAAATTTAAAAAAAAAAAATAATCCCTCCCCTTAGGCAGATAGCCCTTGAGGCTTTGCCATAATTACACACATACACACACACACACAATCATGCTGCAGTAACCCCGTAAGATGCATAAAATGTGGACAACAGCACAGAAGCAATCAATGTTCTATGAAACTGGGAGACAATCCTAAATGTATATTTCATTTTGCGGACTTTGCCACGTCAGCAGTTATAGAGGATGTAGCAAGTACAAAACAAAACAAAACAAAAAGATTTGAAAAGAAAAGCTGCCCACCCCAGCCAAAAGCCCTAGAACTCACAGAGGAAAATTTCCTTAGTTCAAAGACTACTAAGATTCCAGTGCTAAAAAACCCACCCCAAGCTAATTGTAGCAAGAAGCTGAAAAGTAACATTACACCACCACCAAAGGACATAAACGACGCTATGGCTTGGATCCAAGATGACAAGATCAATGCATTCCTAACCTCAATCATTTCTTGCATAGGACAAATCAGAGCTTTAAAAAGTCCAGCAGAGAAATTACAGACAGGTTTTCAGGCAGCTATGATCCTCATAAATTTTGCCGAATCGGAAAATTAGAAAAGTATAAGATCCCCTCCTATGACGGACCGATAAGATTGCAGGAAATTCACGCAGCTCTCCTTCCATGCTGCGGCGAAGTGATCATTTTGTTACTTAGAGTAGCTCCGAATGTGTTATATGTAAGGCTCACCATCGCATCATCGAGAATTCTCTGCCAACATCCATCTACGTCATGGTGGGAAAGTCATGTTTTTCTCCACACGTTTACATGCAGGATGAGGCTTATTAGCCCAGGGGCCTGTTTTCACGTGCTTTCGCAACTGAGCCTTCAACGGCAATATCGCAAAATAGTTTTCCAATGAGCATCTCTTTAGAATTTCCGATACAGATACTCATGCGCTGGAGACAAAAATGTTTTTTCTGTACTACGTGCCATTGCTCGCTTTGAAATCCTTGAGTTTGTTAATCAAAAATTCGTTAACGTTTTACAAAATGGGAAATCGATAATAAAACAAATTCCAAATTTCAAATTTGGTCTTCCACATGCCCATATTCGTTGGATGGATTACGTTATTCAAAATTCGATGACTCTATGTACCGTTGTTTTATCACAATGCGAGAAATATACATACATTTATGCAGATTTTTCATTATTTAATTTCTTCAAATATAACACAGGACTCTAATATTTTGTGGCAACAGTTTGAAAAGTGATTCGCCATTTATGAGTCCGATGCAAAATCGCCAAACAAAACTAAACTAATAGTCCTTCGGGATTCAAATCCCTTTGGACTAAAAAAAAAAAAAAAAAAAAAAAAAAAAAAAAGACTACTATATATCGTAACTTTATTTAAATATTTCATTTAAAGTTGGATATAATATTTAGGGAGTGTACACAAATTGAAAACAAAAGGTTTGCATTTGTATGTAACTGAAAATAATATATCAGTTTAGGTTTATGTTAAGATCAATGGATGCACATTTTTCTATGCAGATTGTCATGAAAAGTTTCAATGTCAAGTTTTTCGAAAAGCTCTTATAGAATCTATGTTCAGTTCAGTATTGGCACATAGCTAATTCATAACATTATTTGCATAAATAAAAAAAAAAAAAATATGTATAATTTAATGAATTTTTTGTATTCTTATTAGATTATGAGGTATTTTCTTGTTAAAGTGGCCAACAGAAACATTTTCACTGATGCTAGTTAAATTTGATGACATTTAAAATGAACTTGGTGAAAACTGGAAACTATAATAATCTTAAAAAAAAAAAAAAAAAAAAAAAAAAAAAAAAAAAAAAAAATGCACAGCTTTAAGCATGCTATATAATATATATAAAGTTTAATGTCTACAATGCCAAATTTGTGCAATCTGGTGATGTTTTTTTAAGCAAAACACAGATGGCTGTACATGAGCAGATCTAGTTTTTTTTCTCATTCCCACCTATTGCTGCTACATAAATATTTATTAAAAATATTATTAACATAAAACAATTAAAAATGCAAATACTAAACATTTTACGTAATATATTGCATGATACATTATTGTTGTTATTCCCCTGTACACAGCAATCTGTTTTCTCTTAGAAAACATCAGAGAAGTGCCCAAATTCAGCATAGTGTACATTAAACATTTCATATACTATATTGTATGATACGTTACTGCTACAAGCTTATATTACTATAATTTGCCGTTCTGGCCCTTTTGACAAGAAAATACTGATTATGATACTAATTCAGAAGTCAAACAACAAAAATCAGCGTTAATTTACAAAATTTTGTAAATTAACGCTGATTTTTGTTGTTTGACTTCTGAATTAGTATTTATTCGGCGTGTTATTGTGTCTTAATTACTGATTATGATTCTAAAGTAATAAAACTTTATAAGAATATTATTAAGTATTTTCAACATTAAAAACCTGCATAAAAATTTATAACTGTATTTAAAAAAATAATACTGAACAAGAATTTTGGCATACTATTTGTGACAAAATTATAAATTAAAGAATGTGACATGCTAGTAAATCACAAAAGAATATCAATGAATAGCATATACAGGGAAAAATGAATTTTAAATTATTCTAATTTATTTACTAATTGATTTCTCAAGGTAAGTTGGAAATGACATCTGGTATCCAAAAGTTTGAAATTAAATATCGTTAAATTTTTGTCTTACAGGAATTTTTTCCCTGTACTTTAATTTTTTTATAAAACTTTATTTATTTTTATAAATGTAAAATTAAGGATGGGGGAGGGAGATTTATAAAATTAAAAATTTTTATAAAACTGAATTTTTAAATTAAATTTTAAATTGCCCAAGCATGAATATTTCTGTCGTATAAAACATTTCTGTAAATGAAAGTGTCTAATTGTTACAAAAATAAAGCTGGGTAAGGACGTTTGTGGACACAGTGTATATGGGTGCACATATGACAGAATTCTGAGAATCTGTGAATATCTATAATCTGCTGTCATTTTTGGGTGTGAACAAACAAAATTTCAATTTTTAGAAAATTCAGCTTGGCAAATATAATGACAGTTTCTCCTTATGCATAAAGCCTAGTAAAGCTTGTCATTTTACTTGTATCAAATAAGTAATGCCTCCTTAACATTCAGTGAGACAAAAAGAATAAGTAAATGATGTTAAAATGCAAAATACAGTAAATTCTTAATAAAAAATATATTCATTGATTCCCCCTCAAATTTCAAAATGGTTTATTATTATTATCCTATATATTTATTATTTAAAAAATGGTTTAGCATATTACTTTTACATTCTTTATATAGTTTTAAATTATTTAATAATAATTAGGTATTGATACTCGAGATCTTACAAAAAGGATTCGAAGCAAGAAAAATGGCTGTCTTGGAAAGGTTAGTTTTATTGTTTCATTCATTGTTGCTGTTACATATTTTTGCTTCTTAAAATTTTCTTACTTAGTTTGTTAAACTTTTTTAAAGGAAATGTTCATCTCTCTATAAATTTATCCAACAGTTTGAAATTTAAGAGATTGTAGACACAAAATTACAATTCAAGATTTTTATGTTATATTATCAAACAAACAAACAAACAAAAAATGCTGTTATTGTTTTTGGTACTTACTATTGAAGGGGATTGACTGAAGATGGAAAAATGCCATGCTGCAAATGAAACAAGCTTAAAAACAAAAATGCGCTCTAAAATGAATTTACCATTACATCATCTAAAAATTTATAGTATGTTGGACGAATTAAGAACAGCGAAAAAAGTGAATTTATTCAGTATGCAGTGTTATGCAATTTTGTCTTTATGTTTCAGTTTTTGCTTCACCACAACTTCTGGAGGTCAAAAGTACGTTCTCACAGTAATTTGCTTTAAACAAATCATTGTTTCATTTGATTGTTCTCCAAATAAATGCAACTAGATGTAAATCCATGAGCTGATGCAATGAAGCCGATTGATATTGATCTTTTCAGTTTGATAATCACCCAAATCATGTAATCTTTTTGTGTTATAAATACTGGTATCTAAATTCTCAAAATTTAAACTATATGTACTAATATATAAGGTAAAATGGTGAAAAACTCTGGCTTGTAGTTTATCAGATTTTTCAGTTACTGCAATGTATTGCTTTGTGTACATGCTTTGTTTTCTTGTTGCTTCCACCTGTTATTTTTCATTTCTGTTTAGGACCTATGTTAAGAAATACTCTATGAAAATCCACTGCTCTGGAAGGTTCACCAGTATTAGTTTTTTTCTCTTGGAAAAAATAATTTAGACTATTATAATTCTATTTTAGCAATTTTGTTAGAGCTTTAAGTTTTTCCTTTGAATTTCAAACACATGATTATGATGCACATTTTCCATAAGTAATTATTCCAGTAGATTGCAGTTTTATCTGTTATATTGAATTAGTCTTCACTTTGTTTAGTAGACATCATCTCATTTATCCAGCAGTAAATAAATCTGCATGTTGTGGGAGCAAGGGAATACGAGAACCCTCAAACCAGATCTGAACTTATCCTACTTTTTGTGCTTCTAAATAAGCTTGAAAAAATCGGTTAGTCATATTTGGTATTCATCCTTATGTATGCTATTTTCTGGAATGAAAGCATGCTTTCTTTATGATTGAAAGAAAGAAATATAATTTTTTGGGTGGAAGATACCAAATTTTCATTTTATTCTGATGAGAGTGGGTTTCATGAAATTTAAAATGCTTCAAAATATGACACTCTGACCAGCAGTGCCTAACAAACATAATAACAAGAAAAAGGAACTAATAACAAAAGCTAATAACAAGAAAAGTATCCCGTATATGTAAAATAATGATGATATACTTGAAAATTTAGCATAGCATATATTTGGTGATATAAAGGACCAGTATTATTTTATCCTCTTGGAAAAAATAATTTATTTTTCAATATGCAAGTACCTTATTTTTGGCTTTAATTACAATTGTGCATTTTACTTAGATGTATGCTTAAATTACTTATCTGTTATTATTTTGTAGATTATTACTGAAGATACACCACCATCAAGTATTGCATTTATTGATCCAAATTTAAGAAACTTAGTTGCTGAAGTTTCCACAAAAGTAAATTTTAACTTTGAAAATTATTTTTTGAATTTTTATTTTTTACATATTAGTTGCTGTTAACTTTTTAAATTCTGTGTTTTAGGAAGTTAAAGTTTATAATGCTAAGGGTTCTCCAAAAGTTTTGTTTGTTGATTGTGGAATGAAATACAATCAGCTTCGTTGTCTTGTACAGCGTGGAGCTTGCGTACATGTTGTACCATGGGATCATTCTCTTGATCTTTCAGGTGACTGTTTTCTTTATAAGTTTTAATACAAACATTTTTGATGTTTTAAAATTTTGAACTTGTATTTTTGTTGTTTTGTTTATATGAATTTCGATAAAGTACTTCAGGTTTAAATGATTATCATTTTGTAAATCTGCTTTTAATTTCTTGTAAAGTTTTTTTTTTGTTTGTTTTTAATTTTAAGCGCTTTTGATTTTAGACAAGCAGTTTTGTTAACTATTTTGGGAGTATGCTGCAGAGTTACAAATATTATAACAGAATCACTTTTTATTATCATTAAAAGTTTTGCTCTAGGTTTTGAAAGTAAATATCTGTATTGTTTAATGGATTTTGAAACTAAATATCTGTAAATATCTAAAAATCTGTTAATATCTAATTATTGTTTAGGCCAGTATATGAAAGAATCCTATTTATCAATCTATTCACCACTTTAAAGTAGTTAATTGAAGCTTCTTATAATATAAAAATGATTAGAACTGCAAATACCTGCAAATCTTACATGATTTCAACTAAAAGTATCTTTTATAATAATAATCAGAAGAAGAAGAAAAAGAAAGAAATCTGAAAGGGCTCAGATTTTGTTGTTGCACTCACTCCTGCTAGCCCATTTCTTTTTGTCTTTTTACCTTTATTATTAAGCAGTTTATTCTTTGCACTTAATCTATATGCAATTCAACAACAAAATTACAAATCTTTTAAAAGCACCATGTTTAGAACTCCTGATGTTGGCATACATTTTTCTATTTTTTCAGTCTTTTCTCAGTTTATTATATCAATATACAATTTTCTTAGTAAGATGACTGGCAAAACTTTTTCTCTTATCTTTTCATTATTAGTGTTTTGTGTGTTAAATTTATTAATTAAATGTCATGTTTTCTGTACTTATGCCACATCATAAAATTCAGTTGAATAGAAAAATTTCAAAATATTTAAAAACAGCAGAATTTCCAATAACGGGACACTCTCACACGCTGGAGATAAATGTTTTAATTCATACAGTGTTGTCACTGATCGCTTTCAACTCGTATAGTTTGTTGAAAATTCATTTAAGTTTTGCAAAATATGAAATATAAAATTCAAAATTAAAACTTGGGCTTCCAGGTGCACATGTTCAGAAGGAGGACTACCTTATTCAAAATTCAATGGCCATAGGCACAGTCATTTTTTTCACAGTGTATGAAAAATACATACATTCTTGCAGATTTTTCAATATTTAATTTCTTTAAAAGTAATACAGTGTGATAATATTTCGTGGTAACAACTTTAAAAGTGATTCAGACTTCTAAAGTGATGCGCCATCCAAATCCCATTTCGAGGCTAATGGCTTATTTTTTGGTGGTGTCCTTTTGGGCTAATAATAATAAATGATAATAAGAAAGAACAAAATTAAAGTGTTCCTTGAAGGGTTAAAAGAAAAAAGTTAAATTTTTATCATTATTACAATTTTAAGTTTCTAGAATTAATTACAGTGTGTAATTTTTGCTAATTTAATCTTATTAGTATTTATTGATGCAATATATACATTAGCTTATTTTGTTTGCCAACTATTTAAACATTTATACAGTGAGTTTTTATAATAAATGAATTTTCAGAATATAAATAACTGACATTAATTAAATTAATTTTTTCAGTTTCTATGTGCATATATTTTCTGATTCTGTCGCACAAATTTTAGTCCTTATGAGTTCAAACTAATGTGAGTTTACTGTATGTAGAGAAAGACGTGTTGTAATGTCTTAAGCTGTTTCTGTCAACCACCTCAGAAGTTCTGAGAAAAAGAATATTTCTAACAACCACCTTGAAAGTTCTGAGGAAAAGAATACTTCTAACGATTGCCTCGAAAGTTCCCAAAGAAAGAGTACTTCTTAATGAATTCTCAGAAAGAAGAACATGATCTATAGTCACAAACCAGTTTGTTCCCCTTATGGTTGTCTGAAGGAGAGACATTGTTCCATTCCTGTACATCCGTTTATAGGTGCATTGTCTCAGACGACCGGGTTTGAGTCCCAAGTCGGAACCGGAAAGATCTCACGGAGTTTTTCTCCAGGCCTGTCATCATTATATCCAGTTTTTATCAAGGCACTCTCACCAATCAAGAGACACTCTTAAAAATTACGGACAAGTGAGAATCCTGGAAATCATTCTGACATGCCCAGGACAACTTGAACAAAAACAGGGAATACAGTTCCAGAGAGAGTGTGAGAGTTATTTGCATTATATATATAGAGAAACCTTCTTCCTCTCTCTCTCTCTTTTTTTTTTTTTTTTTAGCTCTGTCAAGAGCAAGTTTTGTTTCACTCTTTAAAGAGCAATCTTATCTCTACCAAGAGATTCAATGAATGGTAGCCGGTTCACTGCTACCTTACTTGAGATCATCCTGCTCAGAATGGCCACCACCAGCCAAGAGAGGCCTCGAAAGTTCCCAGAGAAAGGTGGAGGTGAGCTGCAGCACATCAGAATTTTGCACCCTGAAATCGTATGAGCAAACAACTAGGAGAAGTGAAGAACATCTAAACAGAACTTTAGATCGTTTCTCCCACATCATCTGTTTTGTGTTTAATATTTTTTGCATATAGCCTAGAAAATAACCCTAATAAATTTATTTATGCTACCTCTTGCCTTGTGAATTTGCCACAGTGTGTAAAGAATTAAAGCATATTTAACTTCCGTTTTTTGCCTTATTTTATGAAGGTTTTGATGGATTGTTCTTGAGCAATGGACCTGGTAATCCAGATATGTGCCAAGAGACTATAAAAAATATTAAGAAATTACTTATTAATGGAGAAAAGCCAATATTTGGTATTTGTTTGGGTCATCAGCTTCTCTCTCTTGCATCAGGAGCTTCAGCTTACAAAATGGAGTGAGTAGGGATTTTTGCATACAATTTGAAATTTTAAAGTAAAATTTGACTTCCTTTTATTTATAATTTCTGTGGGTGGACATTCATAAACATTACTTTCTACCTCTCTATTCTTATTTTTTTATTTTATTAATTAGAAATCATTGTTTAATTTATTTTTATGTTTATGAACAAAGCAATTTATATTTAACATTCTTTTACAGTATTTTAACAATATTTTAGGTATGGTAATCGTGGACACAATCAGCCTTGTATATTTTTAGATACAAAAAGATGCTGTATAACATCTCAAAATCATGGGTTTGCAATTGATTCTAAAACACTATCAAAAGACTGGCTTCCTTTATTCACAAATGCAAATGATCATTCAAATGAAGGCATATTTCATAAAACACTTCCATTTTTCAGGTTTGTATGCCTAAATGTTTACTTATTTTACTTTAAACATTAATTGATTACAAATATGTGATTACAATAATTGATTACAGGTATGTGATTTTACTAGTTGGTGAATTACATAGGCTCTACAAAATCTGTGTTTTATTTTTAAAATCTGAATGCCATTGTGTAGTGTAATGCAAAATTCAGTTTCTAAATGTGACATAAATTTTTAAGTTGTTGAAAATATACATTTTTATTAATATTGAATAAATCATTTTTTGTTTTTGTTTTCAGAATAAGTCATATATTGAAATATTTGTGCACCATTTCAATATAAAAGTCAGAAAGATTAAAGTAATATACATATTTTAAAATTCAGGTTGAAAAGTATTTTATCTTAGTAATTGCATGAATTATTTCAAGCACGGTATTGATCAAATTTGTACATAAAATGTCCTTTGTTTCTTTTGCATACTGCAATTACCGCTTTCTTTAGTTCTGTTATAATTTTAAGGATAATACTTTATAGCTTTTTTATGATGGATTTCTACACACTATTAGCAATTCAAGACTTTCTTCTGTGGGCTCTTATCCAACCTACTGATCAGTATTGTATTGTGTGAAGAGAATGCTTTTGCTTCTCACTGTTGATTCTGAATTCATAACAGCAAATGTTGTTGCATAAAATCAAATTCTTTTAAAACTTAATAAGCAAAGTACATTTTGAAAAAGCTGGTTGAGCTAGGTTAGTAATTATTAACACTAATTATGGTCTGGTAGTTTCACTTGTATTAATTGTAAAATCTCAATTCTAAAACTTTGCATTGTGTATATTGCTTGAAGAAAGAGATTCCATAATAATCTCCCTCAAAATACATACATCAAATTTCATTCTTATTTATTTATTTCATTCACATTTTTATAAAGCCAATGCTAATCTAAGGTTTAACTTTGCTTAATTTTAATGGGAAGATATATTTAAAATATTCTGAATTTGATTTTATGTCTTGAAAAAGCAGGTGGATTTTGAATCTGAGAGAAACTAACTCAAATATTATCAAATAAGAGGTTACTTTGGTTACTATCAAATAAGAAGTTACAGATTCTAAGCAAAAATTTTGTATTATAAAAATAAAAGTTTTCTGCACAATTTTCAAAGAGGCTGTAAAAATCAAAAACTGGATTTTCATGCAAGAGCATAATTATTGCATTAATCTATATAATGTGTGTCTTCATTAAATGAAAACTCTACGAGTTAAATTTTACATTCTGCTACATTTACTTCTCCTGCTCTTTCATACATTAGTAATTTTTCCATTTTATCTTTGTGACAGCATACAGTTTCATCCAGAACATTGTGCAGGACCTCAAGACTTGGAATTTCTTTTTGATATATTCATTGAGATGATGTTAGACCACAAGAAAAAGACAAAAGGGTAAGACTGTTTTTTTTTTTTTACATTTTGCCATTAATTCTAAAAATGTGATTGTTAAATCTTCTGCTGCTGGGAACGTGAGGAAAACTCAATGTTTTTATGTTTTCCTTTTTATAATACAAAAGTAAGAGAAATATTAAAAAATGCACCAGTAAAAAAAAAAAAATCTTGGATTTTGGATTTAAATTTAGAAAATTATTTAAAAATTTTACCCTTCATCATAATTCCTTACTTCTACCTGCTTTCTGCTTCTGATTTTTTACTTATTTAATATAACTGAATGTTGCTAAATTGCTCTGTTTTAAAAATATTTAAATCCTAATTATAATAAATAAGATTATATTTGTGTTCAGGATCTTATTTACAAAACTGAAGGTCCAGTGTAAAATCTATTATGCAGATATCACATTTAATTGCAACTAAAATGTGAAGAAATTCAGTCATTGTAGCGTTCAGCAGTGTAATTATCATTGTGAATCGTCTGTTTGTAATGTATTGGTCTTTCATCTGTATTCCCCTTAAATTTATCCAAGTAAATAAAATCCATTTTTTTCAGTGTATATTACAAATTATTTTTATTGTATAGTTAAAAAATATAGACACTTATATAAAAAATAAAAATTGTGAAAAGGCAGCTTCGCAAAATACCACTATTCCTTATGTTTTTAAGAGATTTTTTTCCTTCTACAAATAATATTATTTTATGTGAAATATGTTTAAAAGATAATTAGATATGTTTGAAAGAAATGGTTGCTTTTTTCTTTTAATGTATTCATGCTGCACAACAGATGCTACTTATGTATTCATGCTGTATGAGAACTGTATGCGTCTCTTTAATTTAAAACAGTTTATATCATTATTTTACAGCTCTGTTATCAATTAGTGCTTTTGCATATTTTCCAGGCCACGTATTGATGACAGAATGAAACAACATTTAAAAAAACAGTCGGGACTAACCTATGGTTGTGAATCTTTTCCTTTGGGTGATCAGCAAGTAGATACTAAAGATCCAATTAAAAAGAAAAAAGTAATAATACTTGGTTCTGGTGGCCTCTCTATTGGGCAAGCTGGTGAATTTGATTATTCAGGTTCTCAAGTATGTTGAAAGCTGTTAATAATTAATATATTTTTAGTCATTATTAGTCATTTATTGCATTTTTTTCAGAAATTTATTCTTAAATTAAATTTTGAAATTATTGGTCTGAAAATTTCTTCTTTGCTCTGTTGAAGTGGTTTTTGAATATATTGTGCTTTCCTAAAGTTTCACATACTTTAGGCACACATAATAGGCATACGTAATAATTCTCCAAATATGAATTTGGGATAGGAGAACGAGTTGGCTGAACATATAAGATTGTAATGCATTTTTTATGAGGGAAAAGGGGCTTGTATGGCCTCAAATATATGGATTAGGATCGTGAAGGCATTTTTAGTAAGAATGAAATGGTGTAAGTACTATATTTCAGTGTAAAACAAAATACATTCAAACTTTTATTTGAAAAAAATTATTCTTCTATTTCTTTTATAATAGGAAAGATAATTTCTTTTATAATAGGTTATTATATAAAGGATGCTTTCTGATCATTCATACCATCTCTGAAAAATCTTAAACTCATTACTGACTTTTAGAGGGCATTCGTGAACTTGTTGGTGACTAATTTTTTGTCAAGCTATGCACAAAAGGCAATGGCCATTTTCAAAATGGTGCACTTGAAGATTCCACACAAGAGTAATAAATAAATAAAATTAAAAAAGCAGAAAAAACATTGGTAATAAACTACTTACCTTTTTTGAGAAAGCTTTCTTTTTCGCATTATTGTTCTGCCCATGATCACCTCAGCAATCTGTTTTTATTTAAAGAACACCAGAGAATTGTACAGAGGCATCAGCACAATTTGGCATTAGTCATTGGCCAAAACAGACATGTGCTATGTGCATACTTGGGTTGCCACATAAATATATTTTGATGAGATCGTGGATTGCCACATTGCTATTTTGGTGTCATACTGCTTTGGCTCATTAATGCTTTTTTGTAACTTTTCAGTAGGGGTGTGAATCAAAAAGTATCAGAAAATGTTGTGTTAACTTGGCAAACTTACAAGAAGGATAATTTAACTTTTCATGCTTTGTTCCAAATTTTTTCTTATCTTTTCTGGTATATTTCTGTTAGATTTCTAAAAACATAAAAAGATTCTTGTACCTGTTATCAGAAATCCCATCAGTAAATGGAAGGAGATCATCAATGATGTCCTAAGGGGTCATCCTGAAGATTTCTTTATAAAATTTGCTTTCCCAGAAATTTACAATTTGGAAATGAGCAGTTTTGTTAAATTATTGCTATGTGTTTGTGAGTGCTGTTAAAATGGCTTCTAGGTCTAGAAAATTAAACACTTTACCAATTAAAGTGAAACTTCATCACAAAAGCTTCCAATGGAAAAATGCATTCAAAATTTCTAAAGAATGCAATATATCTAGGACAACTCTTGATAATGTTCTGTTATTGGGACTGGATTCAGAAATGTATGTATGCATGTTCATATATGTGTATATGTATACACATGTATATATTCCTGCTTACATATACATGAACACATACATTCATCCATTACATGCATACATGAACACATCCATACATACATGCATACATTTCTGAACCCGATCCTGATAACAGAATGGTACCAAAAACTCAACACTGTGTGAAAATATACATTTTCAGCCTGTTTTGTGAAAGATATATATTTTCAGCCTTTGAATTTTTTGTAGAGCCTTCCAGAAAGAGATAAGGGCATCTGATTTTAAAGATGTCAAAGCTGCTGTGCTGTTAAGACTAAAATTATGAAAACGGGAGTTCATTTCTGTGGTGGGTCCCATTATGCAAGAAAAAAGTGCCTGAAAACCGAATGGACATGATAGATTCTGAGCAAATAAAGGATAGCTTGCACAAACAACGAATTATTTTCAGATCTGCGTATGGAGATAAAGTGCTGTTTTAACATAGATAGTGATTCTGATAAAATCTTTCTATTCTGCAGACCAGTGGCATACCTAGAATTTAATTCTGGAAGGTGCAATCACAATGGCAGTGTCAAAACTAATGTTGTACAATTTTTCTTATTTATAATTTTATCATTTCAAGATTCAACTTTATCTAAAAATTATATACCTGTAATTAAATTAGGTTATTTAAGTACAATACTTGATATGATTCAGTTGCATTTGTGTTATTATGTTATAATGTTGCGAGGCCCCAACTTGTCAGCAACAGTGGTAGTGACTGCTTTGAACTGTAAATTACACAAACTCGTAAGACGGATTTAATCCCTTTTTATTCACTTTAGAAATCGCTGGCATTTCACTTGACGCTCACAACAATGCCTGACCCGGCGGTTTAACAAATTGAAAAACAATAAAAATAAATGACATATGAATAAATAGCGAAATCACTACCTACCGAGGCTCTATATTGTAACTACTTAACCGCATCTAAGATCCAACAGCTGAGATTCAGCAAACTTTAACTGATAAGAAGTTGAAAGATTCACTAACTGCTGCCGAATAGGCACACTTCCAGAAACGTGCGTTTCTTAAATTCTACCTAGCACCCTTGCACTCTCGCGATTCAAGAAGCACACTTACAATCTCGTTTCGCTTCTATTTAAACTCAATTTACTTCTTCTAAAATTTGAATACTCTGCGGTTCTACTATGTTTACATACACTCTGGCATTGCATTGTAGTATGGGAAATAAGGCTTGACAGGAAGATGCTAAAATAAATGTTAGTTAAAATAAATATAAACCCTACAATGTTATTAATAATAGATATTTAGTAAAATATCAGTCAACAATACAAAAATTCTTACATTATTTTATCAGGTCAGATATATTTCCAAGTTTTTTAAGTTGCACCAAACCATATACTCTGATATTGCGTTTTTTATAAAGAATATTTAAAACTTCTTTAACTGGTATATATGCAACAGGTATAATCCATTTAAATGCATTTCACATGTGCTAGTTTGTAAGTAATGTGTTAGCTATTTTAGCCTAGAAAATGGTCTTTTCTAACTACACTTGGTAACTGGTAATATTACTAAGATTTTTTTTCTTTATTGCAGGTCTCTAAAATTTTCATTGCAGGTAAACTATTTTGCTGTTGAGGCATTTTTCTTAGCCAGAGTTAATATTCAGTGCTTAAAATACCAATATTACAATTACATAATTGAAAAGAATATGTATGTAAGAGTACTACGAGTTTCTTTCAAATTCAAATAGGGCAGGAAACTTATTAGATCAAACTATCCAAAAATTGATTAAAACTTGATATTCGAAATTAGGATTTGGTGGATTCAATTGTAATGTTAAAATTACATGTTTACTTGCTTGTCAGTCATAGAAGAGAAATTTCAAATTAATCTTTATTTATTTGCTTTGAGCTGATTGATTAAATACTGGTAGTTCAATTCCAAGTAAACAGTCTGGCTGCATGGCCATTTTCATAGTTTTCCTCATGTGTAACATAGATGTGAGCCAGTTTCCTTTAGAAAGTCCTCCACAAAGGGATCTGTTCCCTTAGGCAGATAGCTTTCACATGCTTTGCTGTAATCAAATCTACCAAGCCAAAGGAAGCATCTAAAATTGCCAGACTGAGAAAATTAGAAGCCCAGTACACACAGAATGTTGAAAGAAATCTTTATCTCACTTTCATATACATCCTTGAATATACAGAACATGGCTGCTGCAGTATCATTATAGTCTTGACCTTTCATTCATCTCAAATTTAATCTTGTTGATGTCAAATTATCTACAGTGGCATTAGCAAAATCTTCTTTGCATGTCAACACTACAGGTATGAATTTTAAAAAGAAAAATTTCTGTGAAAATAGTTTTTCTTTCAAGTTTTTACGCATATCACATAGAGATGGATACTTGCACTTGGGAAAAAATGTCTGTAGTTTCATTTCCTATGAGAGAAAAGCATTTTCTTGCATTTGCTTTTTCAACAATTGTTTCCAAAATAATTTTATTTGGAAGTATTATGATTTAACTTTGAATTTTTGTTGAAGTATTCAATGGGTGATTGCTGTAGGATTCTAAATGATTTTTTAATATGTCATCTCCTGTATCTGTTCAAAATGTGAGGAGTTGGCAAAAATTCTCTTTCTTTTGTTGAGGTTTAACATTATCATAATTTACATTCACTGGCCCAGAATCAGGATGACCTCTTAATGGAAATCCACTTCTCCTGCAGAGTATCAATGTTTTTATTACAGGAATAAGCTTTTTTAGATTTTATTTAACTTTAAGAGTGCTGGCAATATCGACTGCATCAGTTATGGATTGTTTCTGGGCAAGAATGATGCTTTCAATGAAGTATTCAGCTGATAATATAATAAGCAATGCTTATAGTATTTTTTCTCTTGGTGGTCATGGAATTTTTTGTTAGATTTTCTGCAGTTGTGGAAAGACTTGTTATCTAACTGTCCTAAAATTTGATTTGTTTTCATATCTTTTGTCAAATATTACATAATATTTATAGCACACTCTATCTTTAATTTTAGAATAAGTCAGCCAAGGGTATTCAAATAATAATGCATATAAATTTTCTATTTGCATTTTAATTGTTCATTGAAGAACTTGGAAATACATACTTTACCATTGGAGTCCAAGTAAAATCAAGTTTAGATCTTGGAGAGGAACTTTTATTTCTTCTAAGAGGTTTGTAGAGATGTCTGAATAAGAATCAAAAGTACTTGTCAAATTTTTCAGATTAGTTTCATTTCATTCTGTTGTTGAATCTTAGCATTTTTGAGTTATTGCTCATCATAGCTTTGTATGCAATACTTCCTTGCTTAAATTTAATTTTTCAAATCAGCTTTGTGACAGTTAAAAAAAATTTAAGATTAAATGTCTCTTCATACTTGTTCTTAATCAATAGATTGGCCCAGATTTCTTATGTTAATCTCTGGCTTGCTCAATCATAAAATTAATAGTGATTAATAATGATTATTGAATTGGATTACTCTTTGCTTATGCTACAGGTAAAGAATAGATCATGTCTTAGAGTCTTAGACAAGATAAAACAGATATGCTCATTTTAGTAAACTATCACCTGATATTCAGAACTGTAGTAAAATTAATGGGAGGAAAAAAAGGCTAAGAAAATAGCCTGCTTGACTGCAGGTAGAATAATGACATTTTCTCTTCAGTATCGTGTGGATGTGAAGAGTGGAAATATTGCTGAAAGCAACAGAGCCTGGGGACTTAAAGGAAACTAATCCTTGTCTCTTAATTTTTTGTTTCCCCAAGGCCATTTTTTGCAAATCAGATGTCATGTCAGGTTGAAGCTCACTTCAAAGGTTAGCAATTGGACCCAAGCTGCTCTCCATAGTTCCCCAATATATGTTCAATTACTTTCAATTTAGAATGTACTGAATTATCTTCCAGCATTCAATAGGTTGATTACTATATGCATGTCATAATTTAATGCATAGATGAAGGAATCCAGTACTTTAATTTCTGGTATTCAAAGACTGGGATGGCTGTAAAGACAGTAGTGGCTGAAGGTGAAGGCTTGATGAAGCAGCTAACACAAAAGTACGGCATAAGCATTTTGGACAGGACAGCATCAGCAGCACAGAGTTGCGTGCAGAGTAGATGCTAGGTAAAAGAAGGTGTAGTTCCTTGCGAAGAGTATTTATACTACGTAGGTGCATTATGTGAAGCTAAGCCATGATTGGTTAACTTTAGTTTTAGTTACCTTTTTCAAGCAGTGTTATGTAATTTGGGAGAAAGGATAAACTTAAGGGTAGAACATAAAATTTAGAATAATCAATTTGAAGGTCGCCAATAATTTCTTAACATAGCCAGCATATTTCATTATATTTTACATGCATATTCATCCACTTTTTAGTGAATAATAGTGATAAACATTAACGATAGGTCTATATGATCTGTACCTCTAAGAGAGAAATTGAAGAAGTAAGACAATACAGAAAGACTTTCTTCGGTAAGAAAATTAGCAAAACAATGTCATTTTTAATTTGTATGAATTTTTTAATAGCCCTTTGCACCCCTTGAGTATGTCACTGCTGCAAGCAATTGAAATAAAATATGCAGTATGAAAATAGTTAAACCCAAGAGTGGTTGTGAACCGCTTCAAATATGTTTCACTTTCAATCAATGAAATTGCAGCAGGAAATGCTGTGAAAGATGATGATCTGATTGACCTTTCTGATGCTGATATAAGTAATGTAGTATGGAAGGAGTTCTTTGAAGTTCTGTGATTGATAGTGATGCTAAAACATTCAGGTAGTTAGATTATGAAAATACTTTAAAAAGAATATGATAAACCCTACAAAATTATTAACTAATGATGATAATAAAGTTATATCAGAGAATAAATATCATTGCGTTTTGAAGCTATTTTAAGAACAGAAACAATGCTGGCAATTTGCAAGGGAAAAAAATCTTCTTGTAAATGTCAGCCGTATCAAAATTAAATAGTATTAAAGACTTTTTATATTCTTTAAAAGAATGAGAAAAAAAGGTTGATTAAAAAAAAGAGAGAGAATATTGCAATTAATTGTGATGATGTTAATTAAATTTTTATAATTAATACTACTTTTGTGATTTAAATAAAATGCATGATTAATAAGGCCACAAGTAATTTGTAATATTTCATTTGTTCTTTTTTTTATTATTATGATTTCATATCAATTGACCCTTAACTTGAGAGTTCGGTTTATTACAAGAGTTAAGGATAAATGTGGAAGTAAGAAGTACTTAAATCCCTAAGAAAGAAGTAAATTCACTAAAGCAATTTCTCTGCATTAAGCAGATGAACTAAACAGTAAAGTAATATGATTAAAAGTTTTTTTTTTATCAGAAGCGTAACTAGGGTTTTTCAGCCCCCCAGGACAACTGAAGATTTTGCACCCCTTTCGTAGTCCACCAAAAAAAACTTAAGATTTTTTCTGTGGGTTATGAATGGAAAAACTTCATTCTAAAATTTCGTTCCATAGATTTTGCACCCCGTAGATGCTGCGCTCGGGGACAGATGCCCCCCTTTGCCCCACGCTAGCTAGGCCACTGTTTCTTATTATGATTCAAGTGATGGAATTGAAGTTTGCTGATTCAATGACAGTGTTACACGTGTGAAACAAAGCAGCAAATGCTTAAAGGCTTGATATATATATATATAGACATTATATTGTATATTAAAAAAAAAAAAAGGGGGGGGGAATTGTTAGCACATTAAAAAGTTAACATAAATTCTCAGAGCATGGTTTTCTGTGAATGACTATGCATCTTAATGTATAATATTTTTGAAAAAAAAGTATTTTTAATGTAATGCAATCAATTTTATTTTTTACTAAACATTTTGAGTACTAAATTTAGAAGTTACCCATTTTATGCAAATATTTTTATAAAGTTTTTCTGTGCGAGTAAGTATGCATATTAATGTATGATATTTTAGAGAAAAAGTATTCTTAATGCAGTGCAATCAATTTTATTTTTAATAGACATTCTGAGTACTAAACTTTAGAAGTTATTTTTTATACAAACATTTTTATTAAGTTTTTTATGTATTTTTGTTTTGCAGGCTATCAAAGCACTAAAAGAAGAAAATATTATTAGTGTCTTAATTAATCCAAATATTGCTACTGTTCAGACTTCTCCAGGTTTGGCTGACAAAGTTTACTTCTTACCTATAACTCCTCATTATGTGACTGAAGTAAGTTATGTTTTCTTGCTTTAGCTCTTTTTCTTCTAGCTTTATGATTTGTCTAACATTTTATTTATTTTTTTTTTCATATATCCATTTCACTTTTGTCAAGCTGTTAAATTCGTCTAAGTATTACCCTAATACTTTCTGAATATATTGAGAAAATTTCCTAAATATATTAAAGGTAGTTCAAGAAATCGGTATTTTACTTTATATAATGAAAGGTTTTATGTGCTACTTTATTGTTAAGGACTTCATTATTTAAATGGCATGAAGATTATTAATAAATTGCTTATATATATCCCAAACCATCGGCCAATGGCTGCCAGTCCTAATTGCAGGTACTTAATAATCTGCTTGGCACGAGAAGAGCTCTGGTTGAGTCATTTATTATTGTTTTATTACATTTTCTGTGTTTAAATATATAAATATATATAAAAGTATGTTATAAATCTAGACATATATAAATTATTTACTAAAAGAATATGAATTAGTATCGCCAGATTAATTTTAGTAGCATATCTTACAAAGAGGGAATTCCCATACTTAGAGTTCAATTTCGAAAAATGTTAAAAATGTTTTTATGGTGACTTATCAGTAACTTTGGCATTATTTAAATAACAAGGACTGTAATAATAAGGATGTACCATTTATTAACTAAAATAACATGCCAAAGAACAAATGTTTAAGATACTATAGGAATAAGAATCAGTATAAGTTGTACAAAGTTGCAGGATTAGTTTTTGAAGGTTGAATAAAACTTTCTTTTTCAGCTACAGGAGCTCATTTTCTTTCCTGCAGCTGAAGAAAAAGATTCTATTTAACCTCTGAAACTAGTCCTGAAAATTTATATAATTTATGCTGGCTCTTGTTGTTTAACAAAAAAGTCATATTGTATATGCGAGAGATTTAAAAACTGAAAAATAATCTTTTTCAATTTTTATTAATATACTGTCATTTCAGAGATATCAATTTCTGTTTCAATATCATAAAATGAATTGTATTAAAACCGCAATTTTATAAATGTGGAGGACATAATTTCTTGAAAATTGTATGAAAATTAATTTTAACATTAAGAATTATTTATCTATGAATATGAACCATATCTCCAAAAGCAATTCTTCACCAAAACTTTTGTCTTTGAAAAATATTTGAAATGGTATAATTTTCTAATTTTATTAACATTTTCAGGTTATAAAATCAGAGCGACCGGATGGTATACTTTTAACATTTGGTGGACAGACGGCATTAAATTGTGGTGTTGAGCTTCAGAAGCTGGGAATTCTTGAAAGATATAATGTTAAAGTTCTAGGCACTCCAATTTCTTCCATTGTTAATACAGAAGATAGGAAGCTGTTTACTGAAGAACTTATTAAAATTGGAGAAAGAGTTGTTCCTAATGCTGCTGCATATAGTGTTGAAGAGGTTGGTATTAAGTAATATTCTTCTCTGTTCCATGAGAAGATATATTTGTTATAAACTACACTTTTTCCTTTTGTAACTTTAATGTTCTGCTTTTGTTATTACTAGAATAGCAATCCTGGATTTTGCTTGATTGCATAATCCTAAAAAGGAATGAGCTATTGTAGTTATGATCAGGGCTAAAAATGTAATTATTTTATAGCTAGTAAAATTTTTGCATTTGAATTTTTATTAAAGATAACCTTTTTGTATTAAACAGAAAACTTTTTAACACAATATTTTCTGAGTAATGTTACTGTAATAGATTATTATAAGCATAATCGTGTTCTGAAAATTGCATACACGAGGAAAATTTTCTTAAATTTGCATAACTGAAAAAAAGTATAACTACTTTGGTTATGATCAGCACATACAGTTAATGAAAATATAAATATCTTATAGCTAAGATACAATAACACACCAAGCAAATACAGTTAAAAGTCGTTAATCCGGACTCGGGACTTCGGCGATTCCGGATTATCAATTTTTCCAGGTTATAGATCATCATTTTAAATCTGGTAAAATGGCATGCAGAAATTA